CTATTTTGGTGCCATTTGCAAACTTACTAACCATACTTCCTTTTTTCACATCGGAATCGTATATGTAAATGATGAAAAGTGGTGGACCCAGCACCAATCCTTGTGGCCCACCATGGGTTTCAGTCCAAAAGGTAACCCACTACCACCACTCTCTGTCTCCTATCTTCAAGCTAATTTTGTATCCAATTGGTGAGCTCCCCCTGGATTCCATGTAATCTAACCTTACTAACCAGTCTACCCTGTGGAACTATGTTGAACGCATTGCAAAAGCCCATATAGACAACATCTACCTCTCTGCCTTCATCAATCTTCTTTGTCACTTCTTCAAAAAAACTCAATCAAGTTAGTGAGACCTGATTTTGTCTCACAATACCATGTTGACTATCCCTAATCAGTCCTTCCTTTTTCAAATAAATCTTGTCCTTCACAATCCCCTCCAACAACGTACTGGCTCACCGGTCTATAGTTCCCTGGCTCTTCCTTACACCCTTTTGTAAATACTAGCACCAGATCAGCCAATCTCCAGTCCACAAACACCCCACCCATGGCTGTCTATGATACAAATACCTCAGCAAGGAGCCCAGTAATCACTTCCCCAGCTTCCCACAGAGCTCTGAGATACAATTGTTAGGGTGGTACCAGGAATGTGGTACTGCAGTTAATGTGGAGAGACTGGAAGAAATGGGATTGCTCTCCTTAGAACACAGAAGGTTAAGAGAGGACTTTATGAGGTGGTAGAATTGTAGAATGGCTTTAATCAAGTGAATTAGGAAAAGTTGGTTCGTTTGGTGAGAGTATTGCAGATTTAAGGTTTAATGACCCAGAGAAGGGGAGATTTTTGTAGCACAGTGGTATTGTCCCTACGTCTCAGCCAGAAGGCCTGGGCTCCCATCTGCTTCAGAGGTGAGTGCTAGCATCTGTGAACAGATTGATTAAAAAATATGAAAGAGAAGAAAAGAGATTTTTTTTGACAGTGACTTGTTTTGATCTGGTTGAAAGGCTGGTGGAAACTAATTCATTTGTAGCTTCAGAAAGGGAATTTGATTGAGTACGTGCAATGAAAAGAATGTACAGTTGCAGCAAATAATTGGCTTTCATTGCAAGAGGGATGGAGTATAAAAGCTGGGAAATCTTGCTGCAACTGTACAGGGCATTTGTGAGACAGCACCTGGGTGTGTAATTTTGTGCAGTTCTGGTCACCTTAAGGAGAGACATAGTTGCACTGGAAGCAATTCAGTGAAAGTTAACCATATTGATTCCTGGAATGAGGTGTGGGCACAATTACAATGTTTAAAGGACATTTGGATAAGTTCAGTAGGAAAGGTTTGAAGGGAGTAGGCAGGTGGGACAAGTTTGGTTTGGGATTATGTTCAGCATGGACTGCGTGGACCAAAGGGTCTGTTTCAATGCTGTATGACTCTAAGAGGAAGTAGTAGGAACTGCAGATGCTGGAGAATCTGAGATAACAAAGTGTAGAGCTGGATGAACACAGCAGACCAAGCAGCATCAGAGGAGCAGGAAGGCTGACATTTCAGGCCTAAACCCTCCTCTAAGAGGAGTTTGGTTGGGAGCAAAGGCTGAGCAGATTGGGTCTGTATGTGTTGGAATTGAGAAGAATGAGAGATAGTATTTTTGACACATTTACGATTCTGATGGCGTTTGACAGGATGGCTGCTGAGGCGATGTTTCCCCTCAGAGGGGAATCTAGAACTGGCAGACACTATTTTTAAACTGAGGTGGGGAGGTCTCCAATTTAGGATGAAAATGAGAAGGAATGGCCTCTCTTAAATGCTTGTGAGTATCTAGAATTCTGACCCCTGAGAATAATGGAATGGAAATATCCAAGGAAACATTAAAACAGACTTTTGATTGAGGGAGAATGTTGACTTATAGTGTGTAAGGCAGGAAACTGGAATGAGGACCACCATAGCCACGTCAGCCATAGTGTAAATAAATGGCATTGCTCTCTCCATGGGTCAACCTCTGCTCCTATTCTGTATGATCCTTCAAAAATGGCAGTGGGACGAATTGGAAAGCTCTTTCAAAGAGCCAGCATTAGCATAACAGCTGAATGGCTTCTTTCCACGTTGCAGGTAAATATCCCACGATTCACTCCATTTTTCAATGAGAGAAATGTGTCTAGATCTATGCCACATGAATTCATACCACACGGGCCGTTCCCAGTGCAATTCAGTCCCAGTGCAGTCTATTCCAGAGTCCCACTGTGTCCCAGTACAGGTCTTTGGGCCAGCCGCTAACTTTGTGAGTCTGAGAAGATGTATATTTCAAGGAAGTCAGAGAGCATCTCATCTTTCAGTTCCCCGGACCCCAACACCTCATCTTCACCATGTTCAGTCCCTGTACACCTGCATCCCCCATGAGGAGGGCCTAAAAGCCCTCCGCTTCACCCTCTCCCAAAGGCCCACCCAGTTCCCCCTCCACCGACATTCTCATTCACTTGGCCGAACTGGTCTTCACCCTCAACAATTTTATCTTTGATTCCTCCCACTTCCTACAAACCAAAGAGGTAGCTATGGGCACCCACAAGGGCCGGAGCTATACCTGCCTCTTTGTAGGATTCATGGAACAGTCCCTCTTCCACAACTATAACAGTACCGTCCCTCACCTCTTTCTCCGCTATATTGATGACTGTATCGCTGCTGCCTCTTGCTCCCACAAGGAGCTCAAACAGTTCATCAACTTCGCTAACACCTTCCATCAGGCCCTCAAATTCACCAGGACCATTTCTGACACCTCCCTCCCCTTCCTGGACCCCCCGTCCCCATCTCCGGTAACCGACTCATCACCATCATCCATTTCAAACCCACTGATTCCCACGATGACCTCGACTATATCTGCTCTCACCCACCCTCCTGCAAAAATGCTATCCTGTACTCCCAATTTCTCTGCCACTGCCGCATCTGCTCCCAGGATGAGGCATTCTACTCCAGGACTTCCCAGACATTCTCCTACTTTAGGGACCATAGTTTCCCCTTCTCTGTTATTAAGGATGCCCTCAACTGCATCTCCCCCATTTGCCACGCTTCTGCCCTCAAACCCTCTCCCCCCAACAACATTAAGGATAGAGTCCTCTGAGTCCTTACGTACCACCCCACCGACCTCCAAATGCAACACATCATCCTCCGACATTTCTGCCACCTACAATCAACTCCACCACCAAAAAGATTTCTCCCTCCCCACCCCTGTCTGCTTTCCACAGGGGCCTCCATGACTAGCCTGTCAGCTCTACACTCCCGACCATCCCCTCCCCCACGGCCGGTACCTTTCCCTGCAACCACAGGACGTGTAGCACCTGCCCCTCCACCTCCCCTCTCACCTCCGTCCAAGGCCCCAAATAATCCGTCCAGATTCACCTGCACTTCATCTAACCTCATCTATTGTATCTGTAGCTCCCAATGTCGTCTCCTCTACATCGGGGAGGCCAAATGCAGGCTCGGGGACCGGTTTGCTGAGCATCTGCGCTCTGCTCACACCAACCAACCTGACCTTCTGGTTGCCATCCACTCTACCTCCCCCTCCCATTCCCCTGGCGACATGTCCATCCTTGGCCTCCTCCACTGTCAGAGTAAGGCCAAACATAAACTGGAGGAACGACACCTGATATTTCGCCTCGGAAGCTTACAGCCCAATGGCCTGAATATCGACTTCAACAGCTTCAAAATCTTCCCTCCCCCAGCCTGTCCATCTTTCTACTCACCTATCTGCTCCACCTTTCCCACTGACCAACCACAATAATCCTCTATCTGCATCCACCTATCTCCATCTACCTACCCCCCCCCCCCCCCCCCACCAGCCCCATCCCCTCCCGCTATTTATTTCTGGGAGCCCCTTCCCCTCCCCATGTCCTGATGAAGGGTTTTGGCCCGGAATGTTGACATTCCTGCTCCTCGGATGCTGCCTGACCTGCTGTGCTTTTCCAGCTCCACATCTATTGACAGTATCTTATCTGCACACTGGCAAAAGCAATGTTGAAAAACTGTCTGAGAATGAGGAAGTTAGTTCATTGGAAATCAAAACAGAAACAGAAGGGTCGATGACACAATACAAACTGCATTACTGTCACACCCATTACTCGAACATTCCTTTCCTTCACTAAGCGCGTTTAATGCAGTAAAATATCTCAGAATGTTTAACAGGAGTGAGAACAAAAATTAATGTGTAAAGCCATGGGAAAGGACATTCACTTATCACACTTAATTGCTAGAGCAACACTACTTGCAAAAGCTGAACTTCAGAAGAGTTTTATCACTTTTTAAAAAAAAATCTGACCACTATCTAGAAATTTGTTTTCTCACAATGAGCAGAAGTGTGTGCAATGTAAGGTGATTGACTACTGTTTATAAAGAAGATAGTGTCAGATATTGGGAGGGCTGCCTCAAAGATTAGTCAAACAGCAGTCTTTCAGTGTCA